AGTACAGTTATATTAAATTCCAGATATAAGTATTTATTAATTTAAAGTGAAAACTTTATTAACTTCCCGTAGGGTAAGTTATTGTAATGGGCCAAAAATCGAAATTGAAAATTTTTAAATTTCTCGACATTTTGAAGGTTTCTGAACATTTTGGCATACCTCAGAAAAAATGGATGTGTGTGTGTGTATGTAAGTATGGATACAGATTTCCAGTCACGTTTTCGGGCGCACGGATTAGCCGATTTGAATGGTTCAAAAAACATTCAATTCCTATCGATAGGGAGAAGAGCTGATTAGTTTTTGGCAAAGGCAGGTCCAGCCGTTTCGGGGATACGGAGCAAAGAATGCAGAAAATAGAAATAGAGTTTTTGAGTGAACGGAGCATTTGATTTGAATGATCTAAAAAACATTCAATTAGTAATGATTGGGAGAAGTGATTATTAGTTTTTAGCAATGGCAGGCCCAGCCATTTCGAAGATTCAGAGCTAAATGTGCAAAAAATGGCAGCTTTTGAGAGAACTAAGCGTCCAATTTAAATGATTCAAGGAAGTTTCAGCTTGTTTTAACAAAATAATTGATTTCGGAAAAAAAATTGCATTTTTTTTTTAGTTTTTTTTGTATATCAAAAATAATTCAGATTTTATTTTTAATTCTAACTGAAATATACTGATGTATGCGATACATGTAACAAGAAAAAAAAATCGATTTTTTTTTCTTTCATAAATCGTTACAATAACATCTCAAAAATATGCCTGTAAATATTCAAAACAAAATTATCATTATTTATACAATAGAAACTCATTTAAGTGCCACGCCTCAACTCGACGCTTGAGTGCTATTTACTCTTATCTGTTTCTATGTGTCAAAACTTTAAACGCGTTTTTCTCAAAACGACATTTTTGAAATTTGCGGGCGGGATAACTCAAAAAGTTCTCAACCGATTCCAATGAAATTTTGCACACATCTACTTTACAGTAATAGCTTCTAGTTAAACCTCAAACATTCCAAAATTTTTTTCAAAAATTAACCCTTTTACCAAAAAAACCATTGAAAAAAAGGTGAAAAATCGAACTTTTTTTTTCTAAGGTGTGCCAATTTACGATTTTGCGACTTTTTTAAATTTTTTTTGGTTTAACTAGAAGATATATGTTTCATGAACACGTACAAACTAATTTTTTTAAATTCAGATCACCGTACGAAAAGTGAGAACGCCCGCAAATTGATGGCGTTTTCCGAGAGGGTCTTGGCAGATTTATTTTTACGGCAGCCATTTAAAAAAAAAAAATTAAAAAAAAATTTTTTTTGTGTATTTTAATATATAATAAATAACCCTAAAAAAGTTCAAAAAGATTCAATCATTCCTTCCCAGTTTAAAAAGTCCTCAAAAAATGGTAAAAATTAAGGCGATTACATGTATCGCCCCCCTTAAACAAATAATTTTAACTTTGCAATTCAGTTTATATAATTCTTATAAATATTAGACAATGTTACAATATTTATAATAATCTATTCGAAAACATTCTGTATTCCTCGAACATTTCGTTACGGTACAGGAAGTTCCAGCAATTTGCCTTAAGGCGCGATGCCATACACCCCACTAGTTTTTGATAAAATTTGTTGAATACTTCATATATATTCTGAAACTAAATTCTTACTGATTATATCACTTACAACCAGTTCTTCGTGTAATGGCTTTGAGTTAAATAGGGAAGTCTTTAAAAATGAGAGTGGCCTAGTTTAAATTTTTAGCACATTTTTCATAGCAAGGTCTACGGTTTTGGCGTATATTTAAATCTGGGTATGTACTCGTTACTCAAATCTATTACATACATGTATGTATTTCTATTTAAATAAATATATGCATTACACTATTAGAGTTTGCAATAATTCATTTTAGTATTACCAAGACGGCAGCTAGGAACGTTATGCAAGACAATTATCACAGCCCACATAATTGGTAACATTTTTGTGCAAGACCCGCGAGACGTGCCATGTTTTGTTTAGTTATTTTGTCATATCGAAGCCGAAGTACACTTACTCGAAATAAATCATATGGTACCTTTCTCTGAAACAAATATATATATTTGTTTGTCAGAATTGCAACTTCTCTTATATGAGCAGTTCTAAACGAACTTCTCCTTCTTCGTAGTATTAAGATGGCAACCCAATGGTTGACTTTTATATTCATATAATAGGTTGTCAAATATCTCCCTTCCGCTTTTTTGCTCTTGGTTTATAATACAAAAAGGCGGAAGGGAGATATTTGACAACCTAATACATATGAAGTAGGAGAGGCTGAGTACGGTTGTGCCAGGGTACGGTAGTGACAGTTGCCGTAAAAACTAAACTATACTGATTTTGAGATAGCGTTCAATGGATGTATGATTGTTCGAACAAGTTTACATTATTGCTTTCAGTCAGTGCCTTACATTAACATGATCAGTAGACCGCATTGCTTTTAAAGAATCAAAAGTAAGTTCCGTTCGATTTCTTTTAGTCGTAACTGTTAATTATATCCAGATTGATCACATTTTTTACTTTCCGTAGGGTAATTTATAGCAATCGCAAAAACATCGAAAATGAAAATTTTTATATATTTTTACGTTTGAACATTTTGGCATACACATGAAAAAATGGATGTATGTGTGTGTGCGGATACAAATTTTCGTCGACGATTTCGGGAACACGGTTCAACTGAGCTCAATTATTCAAAAAACATTCGATTGCGGTTGATAAGGAGACGTGCTGATTAGTTTTTGGCAAAGGCAGGTCTAGCCGTTTCAAAGTTAAGAGGCAAAAAGTGCCACAAACGGTAACTCAGTTTTTAAGAGAATGGAGCGTCTGATTTTAATAATTCAAAAAACATTTTAGTTGTATTGACAAGTTGAATAACTGAATAAATTTTTGGGAAGGCCGGTTTAGCGGTTTCGTAAATGGAGTAAAAAAAGTAAAAAGAAATGCTCTTTGGCAGTCAAAAATGATCATTAGACATATACACATAAAATTATCAGACATTTTATAGAGATTTTAACAATAAGTATAAATTTTGTCCTATGGGTTCCGTACCAATGTTTATCCGTTAGACAGCGACGCAGCGCTTACGCTCTTCGATATTTCGTCTCTATGCAGTTAAAACAGTACGATTGCTTTAAAAAACAGATTAGAATAGTTTCCAATATATTTCAAAATGAAGAAAACATTTTTTTTCAAAGTCTTTTTCTTCTAAAAAAGAACCTTCTAAGAAAGAATCTATATTTTCTCAAAAATCTAATTTTTTCAAAGTAATTTTTTTTCAAAAATGTTTATCTTTTTTAAAAAAAAATTTTTGGTACAGGAAGTTCCAGCAATTTGCCTTATGGCACGATATCATGCGCCCCACTAGTTTTTCCTTGGATGTGGGCTGTTGTGCCACTGACCCTTTTTTCATGATTTTGTTTTGTGACATCCATTGCAGCTAAGGGCAGTATTTCAGTATTTCCATGTAGACAAATGTTCATATTTTTAAGTTTTAACTTTTCTGACACATCCATTCCAGGATCAGACCCTTGCTAAAATTTTGTTAAACGATACTAAATCTTGAACTTTGTGTTTTGTATATATTAAATTAATAATATTGACTTAAAGAAGTATAAACAATTTCTCATAGTGTAAAATGTAAGTTAATTAAGATATATTATAAATGTTATCCCAAGTAGAAACGAATCGTGGCGCAATATTGTACTTTATATGGGCTCTATATAGTTTAGCAATATTGCTATAATATTATTCTGTTAACATTTTTCCATCTAAAGCCAATATTAAAATATAGGCTCCATATAAAACCAATATTGATAATCAATATTAAAATTCTATTCAAAACTAATAAAAGCTCAATATTAAAAACCAATATAAGATTAATATAATTAAATAATATTTACTCTACAAAAAAAATCAATATAAGCTTAATATGAACTAGTGGTGTGTATGGCATCGTGCCTTAAGGCAAATTGCTGGAACTTTCCGTACCGTAACGAAATGTTCGAGGAATATTAAATGTTTTCAAATAGATTATTATAAATAAATACTGTAACATTGTCCAATATTTATAATTATTATATAAACTGAATTGCAAAGTTGAAAATATTTGTTTAAAGTATATTAGAACTTAAGTCAGAATTACAATTAAAATCTGAAATATTTTTGATATACAAAATAAATATTTTTTGGAAAAAAAAAATTTAAAAAAAATTGTAATAATTTTTTTTTTAAAAAGCAATTATTTTGTTAAAACAAGCCGAATTTCTTTGAATCATTCAAATCGGACGCTTGGTTGGCTTGGCTCTCAAAAACTGCCATTTTTTGCACATTCAGCTCTGTATCTCCGAAAACTAATCACCACTTCTCCCCGTAATTACGTATTGAATGTCTTTTGGATCATTCAAATCGGATGCTCCGATCTCAAAAACTCGATTTCTATTTTCTACACTCTTTGCTCCGTATCTCCAAAACGGCTAGACCTGCCATTGCCAAAAACTAATCAGCACATCTCCCTATCAGGAATCGAATGTTTTTTGAAACATTCAAATCGGTTGATCCGTGCACCCGAAAGCATGGACACATCCATTTTTTCTGAGGTATGGCAAAATGTTCAGATACGTTCAAAACGTAAAAAAAATTAAAGATTTTCAATTTTGATTTCTGGACGATTACAATAAAACGGGAAGTTAAAAAATTAATCATCGATAGATATTTTATCACTGGAGTTTTGTCTAATACTCATATATTTTTAATTTGATGCAAAAATGCCTGGGAATTGTCAACTTGATGTAAAAATGCCTTGTTCATTAGAAAATTAATTTGGAATTATATTTCCAAGTAAAGATGGATATTGCTACTGCTTTGTGGAACGAATCCCTTAAATCAAAAATATGTGGCTATAAAAGAACAAAATTCAAAAATGTTTTAACAAAATGTACAAAAATAAAAAGCACAATGAAATATATTAAATATTTCTATTACAGGTCCATCTCCAGCAGAAGTTGAAGCAGCAATCCTCTCAGCAAAGGAGGCGACGAACAATGTTAATTTAGCTCAACAGCAAGTTCAAGCTGCAAAGCAAGCTGTTCTGGAGCAGCAACGCATAGCTGCTGCTAAAGAAGCTCATGCTCGGCATGCTGCTGAAAAAAGGTGAGAACATATTATCATTTTTTAATAAATTAACGTTTGCTTTTTATTATAAATTAGTTGCACCCGATCACGCATTGCTGTGTTATACCTATAATAAAAATCTAAACAAAAATGCGGTTCTAATACATCTAGTTTTTAAGGTGGAACATAGCGCACGTATTTTTCGTAATTGATTGTTGAGCTGAATATAAATATTTATTTGTTGGGTTTAAATTCACTTTAACACAATAAACTTGCAATCGGCCGCTACGTCAATAATAATAATAATAATAATAAATGGTATTCTGCCCGAAGGCAGGTCCATGGTGTGAGAGCCACCCCGACAAATGATTTCCTTGCCCTTCATCCCATTACCACTATTTTCTATACTCTTTTTTTTTTAATTTTATGTATTTTGCTTTCCAAAGTTTTGTTTCCATGCTTCTTGATCATGTGCTTTGACTTTCAGTTCCCTGTATTTTCTCTTTTCGCGTAAGTCGTCAATCGTCTGCATGCTTCTTCTTCCCATTCCTTTTGTTCCTTCTATTTTTCGTCAATAATAATTGTTTTTTTTTATAATGTTAATTTTATATCCATAGGTTTTTTAGCTCAAGTCCTGCTAAAGAAAAAGAGCAAGAAATTACTAAAGTCAAATATCATTGAATAAATAAACAATGATATTAAACATACAAAAACAATTGTTATAAATAACTCTACTATTAATTCATGGTACATCATGATTCATATATCATATACTTGTTGTATAAATAAGTGTAACGACATTCAAATTATTACAAAAGCGTTAAATATCTAATCTATCTCACCATTGTTTATTGCCTAATAATTATTTTGCACTTGTATGCTAAACAGTTTCAATGCTTTATTTTCTCAACACTGTCAGTCATGCAGAAGAGAATTTATGTAAATATTGTGAAAACAAATAGTCGATCGTTTTATAAAATGTGAATCATAATATCAATGGGATTGTTTTAGATTAAGAATGAAAGTTTCAATAGGTTGAAATGATTTTAATTAGTACAATTAGTAATAATTAATTTTCCGTACCAAAAACTAAAATTTTTAAAACAGCTATAAAAAATTTTGAAAACTGAAAAAATCTATTTTTTAAAATATTGACATTTTTTAAGTAAAACTTCTTTAGGCGCGACTAGGGTGTAAATCCGTACAAATGCAACGGAAGTCTGTTACGCCAGAACTGTTCGTCATTCGCTCTCGATGAGATCATTTCTATGCGGGTCGATTGTCATTAGTCGTCGTGTATGTGAATAGAGATCTGTCGTTGTATGCGTACCGATATTAACAATGAAATCGGCATAGATAAATAAACATTTTAAAGTTACATCGTAGTACAAATCTTGATAATGAAAAAAGGCCGAATCAGAGGAATAATATACCCTGTTCCTTGACAATAATAAAACAAATTAAGCATTTGTGCCGTATGTAGTACACATAAGTTTATTGTAATAGAATTAATTTCTATATTATTCGTAGTTTCTACAAATTTTTGAAGTTCTCAAAAAGGAAAATATTTTTTAGGCAAGACAGATATTACAGTTGTTCAAAGAATGAGATTATATCGCCAGCGAAAAAGTAAAAAAAAATACAAGCAGTCAATGAATGTATGTTAATTTCAATTAAACATTACATTAAATTAATTAGTGAAGTTGCGAAAACAATATTTGTTTAGGCGTTGTTTAACATAATCCACTGTGTGAACGAATATTATTGAATTTATTAATCAGCAATTACTTCATTTCTCTAATGAAGGTTCATTTCTAAATGCTAATTACAATGACAAACCGATCATGTCATATTTGAAGTATGACTTTAATTACATTATTGTTTTTAAATATTATACAAAATTTTAATTATATTATAAATATATAATTTATAATTTATCATTATATAAATGTGTATAATGGTTGACACTAATAAATGTGTGCATCAAGATGTTACGAAATTACTAATAAACAATATTCAAAACTGTTATATAATGTATTTATTTTTACCTAAATGCCATCTTGTACAGTAGCAAATAAGTTTTATTTCAATCTCCTGTGATCCTTACGCTCATTCTGTTTTTTTAAATTTGACTTTTTTAAATAAATATATTTTTTATTATATCTTTTTGAAAGTTTTAAACTTTTTTACTTTCTCGTGAAAATCGAAAATGAAAAATTTTATATATCTTCACGTTTCAGAGGTTTTTGAATACTTTGGCATATCTTATAAAAAGTGGATCTATGTGTGTGTATGTGTGTGCGAATACAAATTTTGGTCGACGATTTTGCGAACACGGGTCAACCGATTTGTCTAATTCAAATTTCTACTGATAGGGAGTCGTGCTGATTAGTTTTTGGCTGATTAGTCCCCCTAATATATAATATTTTCAAACTGTTTTCAATATTTTCAGAACAAGTAAAATAAATTTTACAATGTTCGTTCATTTAAACTGAAGATTTATATCTAAACTTATGAGTAAGATTTAAATTAAAAATTTAAATCTTAATATTAGCATCTATTTTTGAGCTTTGATAATAGATACTATGACGGTATTGATTGATAAAAATAAATTATTATAATAAGAACAAATTATTAGTTTTATGTAAAATTCAGTTTAGCCAGTTTTATTAACAATAAATATTTGTCTATAAGTGAACAAAAGAATTACTTGAGTCAAATTGTATGATTTTGTATAGAAATATTATTTAAAAATTAAAAATTTTTGCTAACAACCAATATAATAAATAATTTAATAAATGCACTATACAAATATTGAATAAAAATATTAGCTTATAGTAAAACGATATTTAGATATTAAAATATTTAATCTGTTCAAAAAAGATATTATAAAATATTCAAAATATGCTTCAATTTTGAAAATTTTAAATATGAAAAAGAAACTGAAGATTAAGGGACCAATTCTGCGGTAATACAGCCGATAACATAGCGGCTGTATTACAACGTAATTTAACTTTTTTTTAATTACAATGTTTATTACAACTGTTAAATAATTTAACATCTAGTAATAATAATAAACAATAACATAAATTTAAATAAATAAGAGTACAAAGGATAAAAGTTACATTAAAATGATATCCGTAGTATGATGATTTAATCTTCTTCTTATATATAAAAATGGATCGCAAAATGTGTTGGTAAGCGCATAACTCAACAACGCCTGGACCAACTTGGCCAATTCTTTTTTTTTAAATGTTCGTTGAAGTCCAAGGATGGTTGTTACGGCGAGATAATTGCCGGGAAAACCCTAAAAACGGCCCTTTTCTTCTTTAATCGAGTAGGCAACGCAATTTGTAAAAAAAACAATCATCTATGTCATGACATTTTGTGTAGTTTTTGATAATCTAATTTTGAATATATTTATATAAACATAGAAATATCTTTCTCTTAATCAAGCTATATTGGCAGCCAAAAACATTGATGTAAATTAATTAAATTTCAAAATTCAAGAACAAATTACAGGCGAATCAGTTGTTTCGGCAACTAACCAAGACGATCCACCGGAGTTTTTAAACTCGCTGGATTTGCTAGAATTGCCACCTCACAATCTTCAATTAAAGGTTGGATCGGCAATTATAATGTTGCGAAATATCGACCAACTATATTCAAAGGATAGTATAAAGCAGAAGATGTTCTCGCACCATGCATCCCAATGCGTTTCCAGTGCGTTTATGGTATCATTAAGTGTTTGTGGTATTAATTTAGAAAACCCATGTTTCTCACATGGAAAATTGTATGTTGTTTGTTCCCGTATTGGAAAACCATCAGATTTGTTTGTCTATGCGCCAGGTAATCAAACAAAAAATCGTTTATCACAAAGCACTACAATGAAAATTGAACTGATTTTTGAATTATGATTTACATTATTAAAATTACTTACTTTTAAATGCTTATAGTGTTTTATTTAATTATTCTTAATTCACACCGAATTATTACCAGGGTGACGGTTCTGTTCAGGATAATTTTTTGCAAAGAATAGAAAAAAGGTAGGCACAAAACACCGCCACATTACAATTTTTTTGACAGAACGGAGTCTGTCGGGCCGGCTAGTATAAAATAAAAGCAAATAATAATAAAAATAAAATTAATAAATATAATAAATAAAATTTCTGATAATAAATTAATACTAGAAAAACAATAAAATATAACAAAATAACAATATTAGAAATAATAAGATAATAATAATAATAATAATTAATGTTAGCGTTTACAAATGGCTATTTATGAGATCATTTCGAATTTTTCGTTTTAGCCTGGTTGGGCGCGCTCCTGAAAATACTTTCTGTGCCAAGTATTATAATTTTGGTGTTCGTCAATTCTTCTTTTATAGTTTTCTGATTTTTGTTGAATTTCTTCATTTACTGTTATCATAACATTCTTTCTTGCTTTGTTTATATGTAAAGTACGCCTGATCGCACAGCAAATAAATAGCATTTTAACAGTTTTTACTACCAAGAAACAAGCATAATATGGTGTTGCCATAACAACGCTATGCTATCGGCTGTGTCATCGCAGAATTGGCTCATAAAATCCAAAATAGATTCGGATGATAATCAGCCACTTAACTGCACATTTTCTTTATTTTTTCAACTCATGTGCCATTTCTGGTAAAGTAATAAGCCTAACCAACTCTGATAAATGTTGCTTGCAAAAATAATGATTATTTTACTTGGCATTTTCGATAAATTAAATACTATGTAAATATACGAGTATATCTATAAATGTATAGATGTATATCTATAAATGTTTGTGTGGATAAATACATGTATATATTCACTCGTGTTGCTATTAGTTTAATATATGGTTCCAATAAATGGAATTTATGTCATAAGGAACGTTGGGTACAAATTTAGAAAGTACTCATCGTGTGAGGAGTCAAACACACCTCTCTCAATTTATTCCGAATCAGACACTTGCCTCGTGCCTCTTGCCAATATATATTACATACCTTGCGGTGTGTTAATTCACATCGAAGAATC